GCTTTGCCCAACTCTCCCAACCCATGTACACCTAGGTGCTTTTTTTTTTTTTTTTTTTTTTTTCCCATTTACCCTACATCACTCTTTTACGCCCCTTAAACGCTGTCACCCCCTTTTTTTCCCTTCCCCGATTTTTCCCCTTGCTTCCCCTCGAGTGCCCCTTTCTTCCCAGCCCCACTTCGGCCATGGGTGGAATAGTTTAATGAACTTTAATCATTTCTATGATTTACTAATGATTAATAATTTCAAATTTTCTGCACATATTTGGTAATGTGGACAGACGCCAGCGGACTCCAACAACGGAGGGAGTGCAAAGAGTCAAAGACCAACTGAATGGCCGCATAATAAGGTTGATTATTTTTTATTTTATTCTTGGATTAAGTGGAGTGGATAAGGTTGATTTTATTCTTGGATAAAGTGGAGTGGATAAGGTTGATTTTATTCTTGGATTAAGTGGGGAGTGGATAAGGTTGATTTTATTTTTGGATTAAACCACCAGTACTTGGGCGACGCCTTAGCGTTAACGCTACGCGATTCCCGCGGCCGGCGGGCCGTCGATAAATCGAATCGACAGCCCGCGCGCTGCTTCGAGATTTGGGCGGCCGGCGCGGCGCGCAGTGCCCAAGTACTGGTGGTTTAAGTGGAGTGGATAAGGTTGATTTTATTTTTGGATAAGGTTGATCATATTAATTTTTGGATAATAAATATAATAATTTATTTATATAAATGACAAGTGTCAGTCTGCACTGCCCAAGTTCAAAAAAGGACCTTCAACAGTCAGAACGGGACTCCAACGAAACTTCAATGAAACTTCAACGAAAGTTACTAGAGACTTCACGAGAGACTTCAGCGGCACACTACGACATATACCCGGTGACTCGGCGGTGAGGGAATCGTCCGAGTACTTTTTTGGCTCGGGTCTGTGGACGTGATTGCCGTCACATGCGTTTGAGAATCCGGCCGTAATTGCAGTCAGATGCAGATGCACTTTAGGAAAACGCCGTTCTCAGTATACGACTCGAGTGTGCAAACGGTATGGACTTTTTTTGGCTCGACTCTGGATGTGACTGCAGTCACATGCATTTTGAGGTCCAGCCGTAATTGCAGTCAGATATGCTTTTAGGAAAATGCTCGACTCTGAGTATACGAGTGTGCAAACTGACGGCAATGGACTTTGGATTCGTGCGATATACAATTGCGAAAACGAGGTACGTGCCGGGCTGCACGGAAGTTCGCTTCGAAACTGCAACTTTAATTGTGTCGGCTGTTTTTTTTTTTTTTTTTTTTTTTTTTTTTTTTTTTTTTTTTTTTTGGAATAAACTACGATAGAGCCCCATCTGTTCTGGGGGGCAAAAGTGTGGTGTGGACTTGATTTTACTCGAGGGATTTTTCTAGACTTCAGCAGCAGCAGACTAAGGCAA